CTATACTAACGTATGGAAATTAGCCAGGCGTTGTGATGGGAGCTTGTAATCCCAGTTACTGGGGAGGCTGAGATAGGAGAATTGCTTGAACCCGGGAGGCAGAGGTTGCAGTGAGCCGAGATTGCGTCACTGCACTCCAGCCTGGGCGACAGAAAGAGAATTCGTCTCAAAAACAAAACAAAATGCTGAGATTACAGATGTGAGCTATGATGCCTGGTTCTGTTTTTCATTTTTCTGTTTTCTTTTTCCTGCCTTCCTGTGGATTAATTGAGCACTTTTTAAGATTCCATTTTTATTCATTTGTAATGTTTTTGAGTGTTATATGTTTGTATAGACTTTTTAGTGGTTGCTCTAGGTATTATACATTATATATATATAGGTTATCACAGTCTACTGGTGTTGGCATTTTACTAGTTTGAGTGAAGAAGAGAAACCTTTCCTTCCTTTATATCCCTTTACCGTCTCCCATTTATGATACTAGATATTTAATAGTATAATATTATCGTATTTAAATATTTTCTCTGCATACATTTAGAACCACATCAGACATTGTTATACTTTTTGCTTTAATCATCAAATGTAACTTAGAAAACCTAAGAGGGGCTTTCCAGCCCCGGCCCCAGCCCCTACAGCCACCGAGATGTTGATGCCTAAGAAGAAATGGATTCCCATTTATGAACTCCTTTTTAAGGAGGGAGTCATGGTGGCCAAGAAGGATGTCCACATGCCTAAGCACCTGGAGCTGACAGACAAGGATGTGCCCAACCTTCATGTCCTGAAGGCCATGCAGTCTCCCAAGTCCCGAGGCTACATGAAGGAACAGTTTACCTGGAGACATTTCTACTGGTACCTTACCGATGAGGGCATCCAGTATCTCTGTGATTACCTTCATCTGCCCCAGAGATTGTGGCTGCCACCCTACGCCACAGCCACCAGAGACTGGAAGTCCTCAGCCTAAAGGTCTGGAGGGTGAGCAACCTGCAAAACTCACAAGAGGGGAAGCCGAGGGAGATACCTACAGGCAGAGTGCTGTGCCCCCTGGTGCCGACAAGAAGGCTGAGGCTGGGGCTGGGTCAGCAACGGAATTCCAGTTTAAAGGTGGATTTGGTTGTGGACGTGGTCAGCCACCTCAGTAAAATTGGAGAGGATTATTTTGCATTGAATAAACTTATAGCCAAAAAAAATTAAAAAAAAAAAAAAGAAGGCCGGGCGCGGTGGCTCAAGCCTGTAATCCCAGCACTTTGGGAGGCCGAGACGGGTGGATCACAAGGTCAGGAGATCGAGACCATCCTGGCTAACACGGTGAAACCCCGTCTCTACTAAAAAATACAGAAACCTAGCCGGGCGAGGTGGCGGGCGCCTGTAGTCCCAGCTACTCGGGAGGCTGAGGCAGGAGAATGGCGTGAACCCGGGAGGCGGAGCTTGCAGTGAGCTGAGATCCGGCCACTGCATTCCAGCTTGCAGTGAGCTGAGATCCGGCCACTGCACTCCAGCTCTGGGCAAACAGAGCGAAGACTGCCCCAACAAAAAAAAAAAAAAAGAAAGAAAAAAAAGAAAAGGAAAAGAAAACCTAAGAGGGGAAGGAAATCTTGTTGTATTTACCCATCTTTTTTCTACTCATGTTTCTTTCTTCTTAATATTTCAAGTTTCCGTTTTTTTAAAAAATCATTTTCTTTCTGTTTAGAGAACTTTTTCAGCCATTCTTTTAGTGTAGGTCTGCTGGTGGGAAATTCTCCTAGTTTTCCTTCATCTGAGAATGTCTTGATTTCCCCTTCATTGCTGAAAGATATTTTTCTTTGTTATAGGATTCTGAATTGAAAGTTCTTTTCTTTCAGCATTTGAAAAATAGTATGCCACTTCCTTCTACCCTCTGACATTTCCGATGAGAAATCTGCCATTATTCACATTGTTTTCCCCTCAAAGGCTATTTTTCTCTGGTTTCAAGATTTTTTCTTTGTCTTTAGTTATCAGAAATTTAATTATGATCTGTCATGGCATGAATTTCATGTTTGCTCTGTTTGAAGTTTGCTTGGCTTCTTGAATCTACAGGTTTTTGTGTTTTGCCAAATTTTGAAAGGTTTTGGTCATTATTTCTTTGAGAACATTTTTAACTCACCCTCTTTCTTCTCTCTACCTGGAATTCTGATGGCTGGATGGAATCATCTCTCAGTGCCCCAACCCAGCCTAGTTGTCTATGCTCTTCCAATTGGAATTGCCTGGGTTTACGAAACAGACCAGACTGGACCTTTGTTAGCTAATAACCCCTTTGTTCTGACTGAAGGATGCCCTGCCTTTTCCCAGCCTGCCTCCAGGTATTGGGAGATAGTGTTCTTTTTTTTTTTTCCCCTCTTTGAGATGGAGTCTCGCTCTGTTGCCCAGGCTGGAGTGCAGTGGTGTGATCTTGGCTCCCTGGAACCTCCACCTCCCAGGTTCAAGTGATTCTCCTGCATCAGCCTCCCTAGTAGCTGGGATTACAGGTACCTGCCACCACACCTGGCTGAGTTTTATATTTTTAATAGAGATGAGATTTCACCATGTTGGCCAGGCTAGTCTCAAACTCCTGACCTCAGGTGATCCACCCACCTTGGCCTCCCAAAGTGCTAGGTTTACTGGCGTGAGCCACCGCACCCGGCTGAAAGAGTGTTTTAATAAAAGTGCAGGTGTATCCTGGGAAGAAAGAATTGGCAGCCATTCTGGCTATTTTGAAATCATTTCCTCTTCTTTCTTTTGTAATATTTTCTTGACCTAGATGTCGTAGAGCATTCTCTGTGCATTCAGAAAATACCTTTGCGAAGCGCTGTGGCATACAACAGCTCTCGAGGAGTTAACAGAAGGGGTAATTCTTCACAGAACACAAATAACTGAGAGGCAGATGCCATGGGAGGCCTCGTGACGCTGTGGAGCTCCAGGAGGGGAAGACGTGTTTCCCACAGGATGCAAGGTAGCATCTTGGAAGATGAGGCATTTGAACATGAACTTGAGGAACTTGCAGATGCCCTAGGTGAAAATGGGAAGAATGGATATTTAAGGCACAGGAAATGATGGGAGCAAAGACCCTGAAGTTGGAAACCATCGAATGTATTGGATAGGGCACTGAGAGACGGTAGCAAGAGGCGTGAATTTACCCAGACTGTGGAGGGCCTTGCATGCCACTCTAAGGATGTGGCTTTTATCTCATAGGAATTAAGTGTTTTCATAAAACCAGCTACTTTGTTAGGGTTGGGAAGGTTTAAGGGCCATTGTGACAGTGTCTTCTGTCTTTCCTACATTTGGATTCACTCCAAGAAGTGGGAGGATGCTGATGTTTCAGTGCTACCCTCCTGTTTGGCAGAGAGTAACCTCCATACATTTTCTCATTTTCTTTCTTTCTTTCTTTTTTTTTTTTTTTGAGACGGCATCTCGCTCTGTTGTCCAGGCTGGAGTGCAGTAGTGCGATCTCAGTTCACTGCAGCCTCCACCTCCCTGGTTCAAGCGATTCTCCTGCCTCAGCCTCCTGAGCAGCTGGGATTACAGGCGCCCACCACCATGCCTGGCTAATTTTTTTGTATTTTTAGTAGAGATGGGGTTTCACCATGTTGGCCAGGCTGGTCTCGAACTCCTGACCTCAGATGATCCTTCCACCTCAGCCTCCCAAAATGCTGGGATTACAAGCATGAGCCACCACACCTGACAACATTTTCAAGTAATATTCAACAAAAAAACCCTCAGCTGGGGGCCGGGCACAGTAGTGGCTCATGCCTGTAATCCCAGCACTTTGGGAGGCCGAGGCAGGAGGATCACAAAGTCAGGAGGTCAAGACCAGCCTGGCCAATGTGGTGAAACCCCGTGTCTACTAAAAATACAAAAATTAGCCAGGTGTGGTATTGTGTGCCTGTAATCCCAGCTACTTGGAAGGCTGAGGCAGGAGAATTGCTTGAGCCCAGGAGGCAGAGGCTGCAGTGAGCTGAGATCGTGTCACTGCACTCCAGCCTGGGAGACTAGAGCAAGACTCCATCTCAAACAAACAAACAAACAACCCTCCGTTGGATGGTAATATACCCATTTTACAGATAAAAACACCAAGAGTTAAGTATCTCACCAAAGACTGATTTCTTCTCCGCCAAGTTGGAAGGTTATCTTCTCCAGACATTTGGAAGGTTAAGAGGGTTCCTTAAAACCTGTCTGTTACTGGTAAGATGTTTTGATGACCAAATGACCTCAAGATCACTTTCATTCTTGGGTAGCCCAGCACCTATTTCTCTTCATTGTCTGGGAGAGGCATATACTCCATCCTCATGCTGTCACAGAATGGAATCCAGAAGGAGCCTGAGATATACTTGGTCCAACTCCTTATTTTTCCGGTGTGAACCAGAGATCCATAGTGGCTAAGCCCCTCATTCACCTCCATGCATAGTACAGGTGATCTACTCTGCCTTGTTAGTTTTCTCTCAACATTATCATCTTCCCAATCTATAGGCCCCTAGTTTTTCCTCCTACCACGTTTTTTCCTTTCAGGTTTTTAATTTTCCCCACAAAGTGTTGTGTGTGTTTGTTTGTTTGTTTTTGTTTTGTTTTGTTTTTGAGACGGAGTCTTACTGTGTCGCCCAGGCTGGAGTGCAGTGGCGCCATCTCAGCTCACTGCAAGCTCTGCCTCCCGGGTTCACGCCACTCTCCTGCCTCAGCCTCCTGAGTAGCTGGGACTACAGGCGCCTGCCACCATTCGTTTTTGTATTTTTTAGAAGAGACGGGATTTCTCTGTGTTAGCCAGGATGGTCTCGATCTCCTGACCTTGTGATCCACCTGCCTTGGCCTCCCAAAGTGCTGGGATTATAGGCATGAGCCACCGTGCCCAGCCTTTTTTTAAAAAACCTTCTTTGAAGCCTGGGCAACATGGCAAAACCTCATCTCTACAAAAATTACAAAAATTAGATGGGCATATTGGTGCACCTATAGTCCCAGCTACTTGGGAGGGTGGATCACTTAAGCCTGGGAGGTCGAGGCTGCAGACACACACACACACACACACACACACACACACACACACACACTTATTTGACTTATGAAAGAAAACCTGCTTTATTCTTTGAAATTAGGCTGATCTCTAGATGAATACCTGTTATCTTGCCTGCTTTCACTTGGATAATTTCTGTGTGGCTCATAGAAATGGGAGTTTGAATTCAGGTATTTTCTTATAGTTTAGTTCAGGAAGAATATGCTAGTCTTGTAAAGTGCATCAATAACTTGCTGGCTGGTTGTCAGGAGCAGAAATTCTGGATTGAGGATGAGCAGTCCAGGAATGACCTCTCCACAACCAGAGAAAGAAGAGTGCATGCAATGTGTTCCCTGTTGTCCAGGAACCAGGGTAGCCCTGCTGGGGCCGTACAGAGCAGTGTGCCATGTAGTCCTTGTTGTGAAAGAAAGGACTGTCAGATGGTCCCAGAGTCACCGCCCCAAACACCTGATTTTGGGCAAGGTAACGCTGCCTCCCTGGATTTGTTTTCCTAGTCTGTGAAGTGGTGATGACAAGGCCCGCTCCGCAGGGCTGGCAGAAGCACGCTGTACTGGTAGCACTTTGTACCTGTAGACTGTAAAGGTGAGGGGTTATTGTTGCTGTCATTGTCATTATTAGGGCAGCGTGGACATTCTCAGGCTGACTCTCCAAGGTGAACTGACAGGAGATGAACTTGAACACATAGCCCAGAAGGTACTGCGGAATTCTGGTGGGCAAGGCCCCCTCCCCACACTAGCGCTTCCTTGCTGCTGGCCTCTTACCCTAGTACTGCCTGGAGCCGACTCTGGTGACGTGAGCGTGGGAGCCCCTCCTTTCAGCAACATCCAGCTTGCCTCAGCCTTGTGTACTGCTTTGGGGCAGGAGGAGTCCCCCACTAAAATTAAAACTAAGCTGCTATTTCTGCCAATTTTCCCTGGCCGGTGTTCTTGCTGCTGTGTGGCTTGTGTTAGAAGTTCTGAAATGAGTTTTTGGAGAGGAAAGTCAGACTAACCCTTCAAGTCTTTTGAGAAACAGGTCTTCTGCATTAGTTGAGGGGCAGGAGTTCTGGGCTTGCCGTGTGATTTCTGAGCCATCTCTCTCTCTGTCTTGTCTCTCTTCGGCCAGGCGGGAAGGAAGACCTATGCCATGGTGTCCGGCCACTCCACTGGTCATTCTCTGGCTTCAGAACTGGTGGAGTCCCATGATGGACATGAGGAGATCATTAAGGTAAGCTTAGTTCACCTCCAACCTTTCTCCCTGTCCTCTTCCTCCCTGCACGTATGTGAGAGGGAGCAGTTGATGTTGTTGCCAAAGGGAGCTTGTGGTTTGATGGAAGGAACCAGACCTGAGCTGCTAGTTCCTGGCAATCTCCTAGAAACATCTTAATTTATACCAGGAGACTACAGTCTGCCTGTTAGCAACTTTGGTGCGGCCTGGTCCCAGGCAAGGGGCCGTACTGGATGACCTTACTAGGGGCCTATCCACTGACCATGTTTTGCTGCTGGAGGTTGTGGAGACAGGTAGGAGGTGTGTTTATGGAACTTATTATTTTCCTATAATGGGTTCATCCTGATAGAACTTATTTATTTATTTATATGTTTTCAGTTTTGTAGAGACAATCTCACCTTGTTGCCTGAGCTGGTCTCCAACTCCTGGGCTCAAGCAATCGTCCTGCCTCAGCCTCCCAAAATGCTGGTATTATAGGTGTGCACCACCCCACCTGGCTGATGGAACTTATTTTTTTTTAAATAAAATGATTTTTGTTATTTCTCTCTCTTTTTTTTTAATAAAACAGCTTTTTGAGATATAAATCCCATACCATATGATTGACTCAGTTACAGTACAGTTATGTGCTGCATAACAACATTTCGGTCTGTGACGGACTGCGTAGACAACAGTGGTCCCATAAGATTATTATACTCCATTTTCACTGTGTTTTTTCTAGGTTTAGATACATTACCATTGTGTGATAATCACCTACAGTATTCAGTACACTAACATGCTGTGCAGGTTTGTCTGTAGCCTGGGAGCCATAGGGTACACCGTACAACCTAGGGGTGTAGGAGGCCATGCCGTCTAGGTTTGTGTGTTTACACTCTGTGATGTTTGTACAAGGATGAAATCGCCTAATGACGCATCCCTCAGAATGTGTTGCTGTGAGTAAGCGATGCATGACTGTGTATATGTGAGTGTTTATGCCAATACAGCTATAGAGCATGTAGCTAAATTTACTGCATTAGGGTAAATTTCCAGAAGTAGAATTGATAGACCAAAAGGTAAATATATTTTTAGGTCTTCTGATCTGAATCACCACATTCCACCCGGTAAATTGGCGGTAACAATTTATCCTCCCACCAGCACTATATGAAGCTGCCTATTTTCATATAGTTAATTTAATTTGAGGTTTCTTAACTAAATAGTGTTCCTATTTCAGGTGTACTTGAAGGGGAGGTCTGGAGACAAGATGATTCATGAGAAGAATATTAACCAGCTGAAGAGTGAGGTCCAGTACATCCAGGAGGTGGGCACCCCTTCCCTCTCACGCAGTGCCTAGGTCATTTCTCTAAATCTCACATTTTTTTTGGCTGTCTTCTTTTGTGGATTCTGGTTTTTCCGCTTCTTTTTCCTTTATGCCTCTGAAATGCCACCATCCCCTCCCGTGTGTCAAATATATAACTTTTGACCCTTCATACCTGATCCATTAATCCACGGATACTTAAGTACTATGTGCCTAGCACTGTCCCCAGCCACCTATCGAAAATTACCAGCCAACTTTTCACAGCATTTCTTCACTCCCTTCCTGGCTCATGTTTCTCATTGGCACTTATGCCCATATAACATATTACACATTTTACTTATTTGTCTTTTGTGTTGTGTGTGTCTCCCCAACAAGAATGTGAGCTGTAGCCCCACTTGACCAGGGTACCTCTCTCCATCCTACGGCCAGTAGTTAGGACGGTGCCTGACTCGTAGTCCAGGCCGGGGATGGTGCACAGAGTTGGGTGAGTTGGCGTGCTCTCTTTCTCTACCCTAAAGCTCAAGTTTCTTCCCCTCCCCTCCCAGGCCAGGAACTGCCTACAGAAGCTCCGGGAGGATATAAGTAGCAAGCTTGACAGGGACCTAGGAGATTCTCTCCATCGACAGGAGATACAGGTAATAGGAAATGGTCCACGGTTGGGTCCCCACCGAGGAGGTGGGGTTGTGCCAGGCAGTCTCATTTACCAATTACCCAGTGTGTGCTCAGTCTAGCATCTCTGCCAGGAATGGAGAAAATAGAGGTGATGCTGGCTTCTCTGGAGCACTCACAATCTGGTTAGGACTCTCCAGCCGATGAGCACTTACATTTACACATGTCAGCTTAAGCATAAGTACACCTGCTCCTGAAACACTGTACAGAAATTGAACTTACAGAAATTAAATATCATCAGTTGTTAGCAAAGCCTCTTATCTATAAAGATTCTGTGATCAAGCTTCCTGTAATAATGGAATTTTATAAAGCAGACAATCACCTGTAAATCCACACTTCTCATAAGCTGATCTTGCTTAGTTTGGGTGGCACCTGTAGTGTGAATTGAAGTCCGTGCCCTAGCCCGTTATTAATCTTATATATAGTTATGTCTAACCTGGGATGGGAAGCTCCTCAGGTTAGGAGTTCACCCCACCCCCATCCCGTTTCTGTATCCTCACCCTCCCTCTCTCCCCAGGTCTGGGATTAGAAGGCATCAGTAAGTGTTAGACTGAACAGATTGGATAAGTCTTTCCTGGGATGGATAATCCTAGGATCCTGCTTTTCAGTTTTTCCAAAACTCGAGGATAGAGATGCCCTCAGGAGAACAGAGCTGTCTCTTTGTGACTTCGCCCTCATCCTTTAGATTCTGAGTTGTATCTTTGATTTGCATTTTGGTTCGGGCAGGGTGTCTTGCTCCGGCAGCAGCCCCTGCCTTCGTTCCCTTGAGGGGAACAGCGGCCCAGCAGCTGGTGCAAGGAAAGTTCTTTGTCTTGGACATGCACTTGTGTGGTGGAACATTTCCTAATTTTTGCTTTGGCTGAAGGCAGGCCTTTCAGTGCCTGAGCTCACATCTGGCTGGTGGGAGCTCCTTTGTCAGGTGGCAGAAGAACCTAATGTGCACAGAGACTGGCCCAAAGTCCAGCCCCCTTGTTTGCACAAACCAGCTGTCATATGATGAATAATCAGGCTTTGGGTCAGAAATAATTTAAAAAGGGCTTCCCTTTGTAATTTTTGCTTTGTCAAACTTTGCCAGGATCCCCGGGGGCAAGGGAAACTCTTTGTTTGTGGCAGGCAGCTGCACTTATTCCCTGGCTAAGAAGAATGGACTACACATACTTTTCTATCTGCTGAAAGGTTTTAGCCTGAGGTTTTTTTTTCATCCTCCCTACAAGGCTAGGGTGTTCCCTTTCAAGGCCACACACATTTCTCCACCCCCTCTTGTTTCTGTTTTCTCAAGGAACACTAGGAATCTTTTTTTCTTTCCCTTCCTTCCCTCTTCCTCTTTTCTTTTCTTAATTCCTTCCTTTTTCTCCCTCCCTGTCTTTTTCTCTCTCCCTGCCTCCCTTTCACCTTCCTCTCTCTCTCCCTGTCCTTCTCTAAGATTTGAGTGTTAGGAGAATAATGTTCAAACTTGGTTGCTTTCATCTGTTTTAACTACCAATTTTATTTTTCTTTGAACAGGTGGTGCTAGAAAAGCCAAATGGCTTTAGTCAGAGTCCCACGGCCCTGTACAGCAGCCCACCTGAGGTGGGTAACAGAGGACACAACGGTGGCTCTGCTTAGCCAGGGGCAGGATTGCCTCCTCCCCGTCCTTTTGTTTATTGCTTTCTCTCTCTCTCTCTCATTAAATACAAGAGTAGTAGTTGACATAAAAATTCAAACAACAGAGAAATATAAAGAGTGGAAATTCTCCTTCCCCAATCTCACTCCTTACGAGTATCCACTGTTAACAGATTGAAGTGGGTGGATCTTTCTAGGGCAGTGCTTCTCATCCTCAGCTGCTCATTGGAATGGCCTTGCAAGCTTTAAAGGATATGATGCCTGGGTCCCATCCCTAGAGCTTGTCATTTCATTGTTCCAATAGGTGGCCTGGGCATCAGGACTTTTAAGAGCTCTTCAGGTGATACTAATGTTTAGCTAAAGTTGAGTGCCAGTATTCTAGAATATTTTTATGTACATAGACAACCATATTTAAATATCATGTATATGTTATATACATACCATATATACATGATAAATATATGTATATAATATATATGTGCTTTTCTCAACTATAGGATGGTAAATACATTTTTCTTTGCTTGCTTTTTTTTTTAACTAAAGAGTATATTATAACCTTCTTTCCATGTCAGTACATAATAGATCCACCTCATTCTTTTGAATAACTATATAGTATTTGCTTCCATGGCTGTACTTGATCGATTGACTGATTGACAGAGTCTTACTCTGTCACCCAGGATGCCGTGCAGTGGTGTGATCTTGACTCACTGCAACCTCCGCCTCCTGGGTTCAAGCAATTCTCGTGCCTCAGCCTCCTGAGTAGCTGGGACTACAGGCATGAGCCACCACACCTGGCTAATGTTTGTATTTTTAGTAGAGATGGGGTTTCACCATGTTGGCCAAGCTGATCTCGAACTCCTGACCTCAGGTGATCCACCCACCTCGGCCTCCCAAAGTGTTAGGATTACAGGCATGAGCCACTGCACCTGGCTACCATGACTGTATTTTTAAAAAGTGTGTTATTATGTTTTTTTGTGATTACATAATACAAAACATTCATACTGTAGAAAATTTGGAAAATTCAGAAACACAGAAAAGTGAAAGAAGAAGAAAATGTCACTTGTAATCTACTCAGAGAAAAACCACAGTGAAATTTCATCTTTACCTGAATGCAAATATATATTTATAATATTCACGTTGTACAGTATGTGACATGTCTTTATAATTTTTTTTTTTTTTGTTTCTTTAGTTGGGTATGTTTTGGCATTCGGTGTTTTTGGCCCTCAGGTATAGGTTGAATCAGACCCACCCATTAGTTCATGGCACATCGTCCTCGTGGGTCCTGTCAAGGCCTCTCACTGGTTTTAGTTTTTGTTTTTTGGTTTTTTTGCCTCTCCACCTCCTGCAAGAGGCACTCACTGTAATGAATTCAATATATGGCTTTAAATATGCCTGTAAAATGTTTCAATATACGTGATGAACTTGTGCTATATCTTCTTCAAGCAGTCCTCCCACCTCAGCCTACCCAGTAGCTTGTTCTTATTTTCCCTGGTACCATGTTTTTTAGGATCTATGTAAATTGCTGTATTAAAATCTAGTTCATTGCTTCTGCCTCTACATGTAGTTTTATAACTTACTTTTTTGCTTCATATTATATCACATGATGAAATAATATTTTCATGAAAGTTTTCCATGCCATTAAACAGCCTTATGAGAACACTCTTTGAAATAAGTGCATAATAGTTGTGTTCCAGGAGCCTTTTAAAACATTTTCACCTGCCCATTGGCTCAGGTGAGGATTTAGGGAAATTGACTGGATAACTTATAACATCTAGATTTGGAATGCTGTGATTCTTAACCACTTGCTTTAGATGTGAAGCTTGGACTTTCTCCTTCTTTTGAATCACCATATTTGGCAAATACATTGTTGGCAACAAATTACAATAACACCTGGTAATATCTGTTTGGCCACTTTCTTCTCACAAGCTCAAAGCTGTACCGGATGTTATCTTACCTAGTTTTGAGGCAGCCTGTAAGGCAGGGTGTGGTAGGGAGTGTACTTACTGCCTCACAGATAAAGAAATGAAGGCCCACAGGACTTCATTTCTTCATTGTCACCCACAGGATGATAATGCAGAGACTGGGACCCCATCTCCCTCCTCCCAGCCGAGAGCTCTGAGCTCTGGTTTGAAGGCGTTGCTGCTTCCCACTGTGCAAGATTGGGAGAGATTTTTCTGTCAGACTCACAGGGAGTTCGTAATCAAAGTGTCTGGTGCCTGTGCAGCAGAGACGGGGGCGAGACCCTACGTGTTAGCTCATCCCTAACCACCAGCCCACGGTTGGGTGTGTCTGGGAGAGACTGAGCAGTTACCTCGATGAGACACGTTTTCCACATCGAATCAGATTCCTGGACTCATTGCATGCTTTTGCCATAAACCTGTCCATCCATCAGTAACCCTTTATATGCTGCTCTCAGTGCCAAAAGCTGAGAATGGTAAAGGATGTGCTTTTGGACCACTCCCTTTGTGATGGGTGCAACATAGTCCCTGTCCTATGGGAACTGTAGTCCAAAGGGGAACATGGTGTCTGCTCTCAGAGAGTTGTAGGCGGATAGAGGGAAATAGGACACACACCTACAGACAGCATCCACATAGTCGCCAAGAAATCAATCAGTGGATACATAAGTGAAATACTACTGAGCATGTCCTAAAATAATTGGGTGTTTTGAGGCTAGCAGGGTTCTTTAGGGTATGAAAGGACAATGTTTCATTGAATAACTCAGAATTCCTGGCTGCCTAAGGTAACTCTCCCCTTGTGTGATGACAGTTCTTTTGTGAGGGTGGTTTGGACGAGATGGTCCAAACCAGTGTGTGCCTGGGAGGGGACCTTTTCTTACTGAGTCAGAAACTTGATGGCTTCCTCTTCCCTTCCTTGCTCTGGCTGTAGGTGGACACCTGTACAAATGAGGATGTTGAGAGCTTGAGGAAGACTGTGCAGGACTTACTGGCCAAGCTTCAGGAGGCCGAGCGGCAACACCAGTCAGACCGTGTGGCTTTTGAGGTGAGATTTGGGATTTGGGGAGAAGGTGCCCCAAGGGATGGTCTACTGCACACAGGTGCCAGTGATGTCTCAGCTTGGACTTCCTGTCTCTGGCTGAGTGCCACAGACTGGAAAACAAGACTGTGAAGCCTAGAACGCTTGTCTGCTTCTCCCTCTCCTGGACGTTTATACTGTTTACTGTCCAAGGCCAGCCCATAGTTCAAAGGGCAGCTTGGGATTCTCTGCTCTGATGAATTTGAGGGTGGTGCCCATCTGGGGCAGCCAGTGATTCAGAAGTCATTTCTGTCTGTGTCGTGGTAAGAATCCCTGGGCTCTGTGCAGGCAAGGACTACTGTTGGCATGTCACCCCCGTGTCCCTAGTGTCTGGCGCAATACCTGGTATTAGATAGGTGCTTCATAAACGTGGACTGGATGAGTGACTAAATCTGTGTTGTTGTAGAAAGAACTGCACCCATCGAGTTGGAGGATTTGGGCTCTAGACTCAGCTTTGCAGAGCTTTGTGGTCTAGAATGAGTATCTTTTTTTCACTCTGCCACCAAGCTGGAGTGCAGTGGCGCAATCTTGGCTCACTGCAACTTTCGCCTCCCAGGTTCAAGTGATTCTCCTGCCTCAGCCTCCCGAGTAGCTGGGATTACAGGCATGTGCCACCATGCCCAGCTAATTTTTGTGTTTTTATTAGAGACGGCGTTTCACCATGTTGGCCAGGCTGGTCTCGATCTCCTGACCTTGTGATCCGCCTGCCTCAGCCTCCCAAAGTGCTGGGATTACAGGCGTGAGCCACTGCGCCCGGCCTGGAATGAGTATATTAATTACTGTTATAGTACAGAAGTCTATAAATGGAGAGTAAAGCCCCCTACTATATGTGAGGTCTTCCATGTTTTCTAGAAAATTCTTTGAGTATAAAACAAGGTACATGGGCAGTTTCCTTCCTTCCTTCCTCCCTCCCCTCCCCTCCCCTCCCCTCCCCTTCCCTTCTTTCCTTTCTTTCCTTTCTTGACAGGGTCCCACTCTGTTACCAGGCTTGAGTGCAGTGGCACAATCTTGGCTCAATGCAACCTCCACCTCCCAGACTCAAGCCATCTCCCACCTCAGCCTCCTGAGTAGCTGGGACAACAGGTGCACACCACCATGCTTGTCTAATTTTTGTGCCTTTTGTAGAGACAGGGTCTTGTCATGTTGTCCAGGCTGGTCTCAAACTCCTAGGCTCAAGCAGTCTGCGTGCCTCGGCCTCCCAAAGTGTGGGGATTACAGGCATGAGCCACCACACCTGGCCCATGGGCAGTTTTCCAACTGCTCTGTGTGAGGTTAACCATTTGTTACCTGCTTTTGTTCTTCCACAAGTAACATATTCTTTGTGTCATAAATATGTTATGATAGGGTTATATCCTGCGTAGGCATGCTGGGAGCTGGTAAAAAGAGAAACGCCAGCCTGAACTCTTCATTTTCATGGAACTGAGGAGGAGAATTTTTGAGAGGAGGCTTGGGGGTGAGGAGGAAGGGCACCAAGGATGATAAACTGTGTTAGCCGAAGTCTTATTAGAACAAGTAGTTTAACCTCTCTGAGCATCTGTTTCAACTTTTGGAAAAAGGGTTAATGAAATACACCTTACAAGTTTGTTGTGTAGATCGAGTGAGGTAATATATGTGAGGACACTTGATTATTCTGAAGGGTTTTAGAAATATAAAATTGTCTATATTTTTCTTAGCAATCAGTTTAACAAGGAGATTTTCCTATTGTAAATAGCTTGGACTTAGGTTAATATTAAAATTAGTTTGTCCTCTCAGAACAAAGGAGCTGTGTGGTGAAGGGGTATGTTACATCTATTTCAGATTCCATAATTTGTATAATTTAGTTGGTGATATATCAGTTGGTGACCAGCTGTTTCCTACCTTTTCCAAACAAAACAGGAGGAAAGTAAGGTTGAGGCTCTAGCACTGACCAGGTTGTGAATTTTGGAAAAAAAAAATCTGCATTGAGAGGCATTATGAAGTTGTGGAAATTAACAGAAATACTTGCTGGTTTTAATCACACATGGAGGAGTCTGCTGCTCTGGATTTCAGAGCCTGAGCAAAAGTACCCTGACAGCTGTAGCCCACTGTCCAGAATTTAGAAGGTTTATTTTTCTTAACCCCATAGTATGCAGCACCACCTGTAGTAGGAGATGCTTCTTGCTGGGCGCTGTGGTTCACACCTGTAATCCCTCAGGAGGCTGAGGCAGGAGGATCCTTGAGCCCAGGAGTTTGAGACCAGCCTGGCCAACATAGATCTCATCTCTACAAAAATAAAAAAAATTAGCCCGGTGTGGTGGAGCAAGCCTGTGGCTCCAGCTACTTGGAAGGCTGAGGTGGGAGGATCTTTGGAGCCCAGGAGGTGGAGGCTATGGTGAGCTATGATTACGCCACTGCACTCTCGCCTGGGCAACAGATTGAGACCTTGTCTAAAAAATAATATAATACATGAGTAATTTTTTTTTTTGAAAAAGGAGATGCTCCTTGGGTCATTCCCACTGTTGGGCTAGGTTGGCAACCTTTTTATAATTAAGACGTTCCCTTGGGGGCAGGGTTGGCTGGAGCTATGGAGTCAAATGTGGAAGGGGAGTCCGTATTTTTTTTTTTTTAACCTTTTGCTCCGACAGTGGGGTGCAAGAATCGGACCATGGCCTTGTTAACACTGTGCTTGAGCTCACATCAACCTCGGTGCAGTGTTTATTTACATACAGAAATGAAAGGCCTTACTTTTAAGTTCCTGCCTATGGGGATGGCCTGTTTCAGGTTAATATGGGTCATTTGAAGGCTTGTCTCAGTCTCTCCTAGTGAATTGGACTCCCTGGTCTAATTTTCTGAACCTCGGGGTAGGAAGGGCAAGATGATCAATTACCATGAAAATAACTTGCTATTAAGCACGGTTTCCTGTTCTACTGGCTGCTTGATGTCAAGAAGGATTTGCAGTGAGAGTGAGTTTGCTCTGGACAGGGCTGGTGTGTAGCATAGACACATCCCATCATACATCACCCTGTGCTGTACTTTCTCCTCCCCAGTTCTGACCTTGGGAAGGGCCGGACAAACTGGCTGCTGATGTTCTGTTTTCCCAGGGCTGGCTAAGCTAGGCTTTCCAGAAGTTACCTGGATTCTTTTTTAATAAATGATGAGCAGTCAGTGTGAGGTACCTGGGAAGCACTGAAATGGATGGTGAAGTATCTGGGTCCTAGCACTGGCTGTCATTCACTAGCTGGGTAACCTTGAATAGGTCAGTTGACCTTTACTTGTTAAAGGAGAGGGTTGGATTAGATGAACATCAGTTCCACTCATGATTTTATTGAGTAGTTACTGCATACGAGGTACTGTGGGAGCTCTAGAAGTGTAATGGTGCTCAGTCTGTACCATCAGGACACTGACAGTCTACTTCAGGGTGCACACAGTGACTGGGCAAAATCTGTTCAATGCTGTGAGAGGGAAGGCCGTGTGTTCCTTGTGTGCCCTCTCCCTGGGCACACGAAGGAGGGGCTCCTCCCCCAGGCTCTCTGGAAGAAGGGTCATCTAAGTGAGACCTGGAGGATGAGTAGGAGTTGGAAAGACGTAAGGTGGAAGAAAGGAGGAAAGTTCTTTGCTTTCTCATTTTAACATTCTGCTTCTGTCCTCTCTAAATTGGTTTCTCATCTCTGATAAAAGACAGATTTGTCTGGTCGCGGTGGCTCACGCCTGTAATCCCATCACTTTGGGAGGCCAAAACGGGCAGATCACCTGAGGTCAGGAATTCAAGACCAGCCTGACCAACATGGAGAAACCTCGTCTCTACTAAAAATACAAAATTAGCTGGGCGTGGTGGTGCATGCCTGTAATCCCAGCTACTTGGGAGGCTGAGGCAGGAGAATCACTTGAACCCAGGAGGCAGAGGTTGTAGTGAGCCGAGATCACGCCATTGTACCCCAGTCTGGGCAACAAGAGTGAAACTCTGTCTCAATAAATAAATAAATAAATAAGACGAATTCTTCCTGATGCTTAGTAGCCCTTCCAGGTGCCATTTTGGCTGTCGTGTGTGGGCTCTATTGCTGGAAGTGAGGGTGGGAGGTATTGAGGAGACAGAAGGAAGGAGCTGGAGGTATCCTCCCTGGGATTATTTGCTTTTGAATTTGTAGGAAAGCCACAACATTGGGTTAAGCTTGGGTGGTGGTGGAGGGTTCATGGGGATGTTGAAGGAGTCACCTATCTGAAAAGTAGTGCTTGTGGGTTCCAGGTGTCACTTTAAAGTGGACCTCAATCAACTGTGAGCCAGTTAACCCTGGAAATAGACTTACACTGCTGGAGTGCTGAGGTGGTCCTGCACAGCAAAGGGGAGCTGGTGGTGTGCCCATCAGTGTCACCAGCTTTCTCCTGTCATGGCTCCAGAGCCACCCAGGTTCCTGGGTTCTTTTCTAAGGTTTTTTTCCATGTTTGTTCTTTTTTCCACACCATTTAACGTATTCCTGTCCTGTGTTTTAGGTCACACTCAGCCGGTACCAGAGAGAAACAGAACAGAGTAATGTGGCCCTTCAGAGAGAGGAGGACAGAGTGGAGCAGAAAGAGGCAGAAGTTGGAGAGCTGCAGAGGCGCTTACTGGGGATGGAGACGGTAATTGGGGGATCTTGGTTGTCATTGCCTGGACTCCTGGGCTGGAAGGGGCCTGTGGGTGGATTGAAACGGTTGCCAAGACCCTTCTTTTCCCAGCGTCTCCAGAAAAGCACACTTCACAGCTTCCTTTGGCAGATCCCTTCAAATATCTTTTAGCCTTCAAGGAATTAACCTCCCCGTAACTAGCGTTGATCCTATTTCCACATTAGTTTCCTGTACAGATGCCCCTTTTGAAGTCCTGGTTTCTCAGGGACTGGCAGCCATAGCTGGCGAGTGGGCCTGCGTGATGCAGGGCTGGGTTCTGCCTCAGGGCAGCTGGGTGAGGCTGAGTGAGAGTGGGAAGGGTTCTCCTCGTCAAGGGAGGGCGCCCCATCAAACCAGCTCATCTTGCTGCTCTTTGGCAGCTGTCCAGGCCCAGCAGGGGCTAAGTCCCAGCCTGGCACCCATCTCACCCCAAACACAGAAACTGTTGCCATCTTCTCATCCTAGATTTTCTTTTGTGGCCCACCCAGGAGCATCAGGCCTTACTGGCGAAAGTCAGGGAAGGGGAGGTGGCCCTAGAGGAACTTCGGAGCAACAATGCTGACTGCCAAGCAGAACGAGAAAAGTAAGGGCTTGGCTCTTGTGCATGGTGAAGTTGGGTTGCAGGGAGGGGAGGGCGGGCCATGCAGCCTGTCGCTCCTGTGGTGGCCTGGTCTGGGGAGGAAGCTGGTGCTGATGTCAGATCTTCCAGCTCTGACTCACCATGAGCTTGCTCAGGGTGGAGCCCCACCCAAGAGATACCATTTGGGAGGCCGCCATCTCCAGGGAGTTCATTTTCCATGGGGTAATAACCTAAAGAAAAGGCTTTCACAGTTTTAGAGCCAAGGGCAAGCAAGAGCTGGTGGAGCATCTGCTGTTGCTGTGTGTCATTCCACAGATCAGTGCGGTGGATATGTTATGCCTTCGTTTCCTCCCCGCTGAAACAAAAACTGACTGTAAACTGTTTGAGGGTAGAATTGATTAACAGTCATGCTGATGAAAAATGGAGGCCGGGCGCGGTGGCTCACGCCTGTAATCCCAGCACTTTGGGAAGCCGAGGCGGGCGGATCACAAGGTCAGGAGATCGAGACCACGGTGAAACCCCGTCTCTACTAAAAATACAAAAAATTAGCCGGGCGTGGTAGTGGGCGCCTGTAGTCCCAGCTACTCGGGAGGCTGAGGCAGGAGAATGGCGTGAACCCGGGAGGCGAAGCTTGCAGTGAGCCGAGGTCGCGCCACTGCACTCCAGCCTGGGGGACACAGCGAGACTCCGTCTCCAAAAAAAAAAAAAAGAAAAATGGAATGAGCAGCTTCATGAGGAGATACTGAACTTCCTGTTACTTGAAGCAATGCAGATAGAAACTGAGAACCACCTGTCAGCAGAGTCCCATAGGTGATCACTGAGATCCTTTCTACTTCCAAGGTGGGAGGCTTTTGCAAATTCCCTCTGATCAGAGGAAATCAGAGGCCCCAGACAACCAATGAAACCTACAGAGCAAAGATTGTGCCTTCTAGATCTTCAGGAATTTGGAAATTATGCTGTTGGCAATTAATAAATAAGACCTCAAATGGTAAATCACATTTAACATCAGCATATTTGGTTTGATCTTCGTTGTATAAGGTGGACCTTTTTTAGTTCAACAAGACATTATCTGAAGGGCCTTTTAAGGAATTCCAAGAAGAACAGACACAATTCTTGCCCTTTAGGGCCCCTCAGTCTTCTGGAAGCATTTTCTGTCCTTTAGGATAACCTAGATATGACCTTCCTGGCATGTCATACACACGTCATATTGTAGCCTCCTTTCTGACTGGACTTTGTATCAGAATTAATATCAGAATTAATCAGCACTCCTTTCTCGGTGGGTAGGTGCACATGGGCAGAGCAAGAGAGACAAAAGGGCTAGATAATCAGAAGCCAGGGCTTGGGAATGGCAGTGACAGCTGTGTCAAGTATGTGCTGATTTCTACATAAAAGGAGACTGAGAAGTAGGGCATTGGAGAGCTGAAAGTGGAAATTTAGAATACTTGGAGTTTAGGAAGGATAAGGGGTAGCTCAGGTTGCATGGTACCCCAAGCAGCATGTACTTGTCAGCTTCCTCAGGCAGAACTGGGGAGTGATGGATTCTTCAGGGGCCCAAACCCTGATACTCTCCCAAGTAACCTGACTAAAAGAACACTGTTCCTCTACTCATAATGCTTCTTACACCAAATATATGGGTTTTCCATGCCAAGCACTTCTCCAACTCTCAGTTGATACCAGCTGGGTACCCTACACTTTAATTCAATTCTGAGATAACCCAGAGTTAGTGCACAGCCACAGGTTAAGGGCCAGTCCCGCAAGACTGCCCCTACTTCAGATGCCAGTCACAAGTGGTGGGGTCTAGGGTACCTACACTTCTGTCCAACTTGGCTATAAATTAGGGGTTCTCATATCCTCTTTTCAGGTTTGATAACTTGCTGTAATGGGTTTGCTGTCATAGAACTCAGGGAAACATTTTCCTTATTTATTTATTTATTTATTTATTTATTTATTTATTTGAGCCCAAGTCTCACTCTGTTGCCCAGGCTGGAGTGCAGTGGTGCAATCTCAGCTCACTGCAACCTCCGCCTCCCGGGTTCAGGCAATTCTCCGGCCTCAGCCTCCTGAGTAGCTAGGACTACAGGCGTGTGCCACCACGCCTGGATAATTTTTTGTATTTTTAGTAGAGATGGAGTTTCACCATGTTGGCCAGGCTGGTCTTGAACTCCTGACCTCAGGCAGTCTGCCCGTCTTGGCCTCCCAAAGTCCTGGGATTACAAGCGTAAGCCACCATGCCTGGCCTACTTAGTTTTTAATTTAAAAATTTTTTCATTGAGACAGGGTCTTGCCATGTTGCCCAGGCTGGTCTCGAACTCCTGGGCTCAAGCAGTCCTCCCACCTCACCTTCCCGGAGTGCTGGGATTATATTCGTGCGCCACTGCACCTGGCCAACGTTTCACTTATTATTACGGGTTATGGTAAAGGATTCAAATGAACAGACAGATGAGGTACATAGGGCAAGGTCAGCATGTGGATGCATTAACCAAGCTGGAAGCTCTGAACCCCTTTGTTTTGGGTTCTTACGGAGGTTCATCACATAGGCATGATTGATTAAATTATTGGCCACTGGTGATTAGTTTAGTCTCTAGCTCCTATCCCTGTCCCTTTCCCAGACGTTAGCGGGAATTGTGGGGCTGAAAGTTTCAACCCTTTAATCATGCCTTGGTCTTTTGACTAGCCCCGTCCTGAAGCTGTCCAGGGACCCCAGCCACCAGTCATCATTAGCATACAGAAAGACACTCGTCAGTCTTGGAGATTCCAAGACTCAGGAACCAGGGAATGTGACCAAATATTATAACAAAACATAGGAGCTGTATAGCAGGAACCAGGATGGAGACCCATTATATATTTCTCATTATTTTACACTACCCTTTGGGGGATCTTGGCTCAGTCTGCTTAGAAGATGCAAAGGAAGCAACAGTGGTTTGGGAATCAGGAGACCTAGAAACAAAATTGTGTAAAGGGGCTTTAAGGAGCAATCCTGTCTCCCTCCTCCAAATCTCTGCCAACAGCTTGATGGTGTTGAGTATAATAATCCCAGCTCCAACTGGGCATGGTGGCTCACACCTGTAATCCTAGCACATTGGGAGGCAGGGACAGGAGGATTGCTTGAGTTTGAGTTCGAGGCCGGGCTCACACCTGTAATCACAGCACTTTGGGAGGCCTAGGTGGGTGGATCACAAGGTCAGGAGATCAAGACCATCCTGGCTAACATAGTGAAACCCTGTCTCTACTAAAAATCCAAAAAACAAAACAAAAAAAATTAGCCAGGTGCGGTGGCTGGCGCTTGTAGTCCCAGCTACTCAGGAGGCTGAGGCAGGATAATGGCGTGAACCCGGTAGGTGGAGGTTGCAGTGAGCCTAGATCACGCCACTGCACTCCAGCCTGGGTGACACAGCGAGACTCCGTCTCAAAAAAAAGAAAAAAAAAAGGTTCGAGATCAGCCTGGCCAACATGGTGAGGCTCTGTCGCTACCAAAAAAAAATCTTCTTAATTAGCCAGGTGTGGTGGCATGTGCCTGTAGTCCCAGCTACATGGGAGACTGAGGTAGGAGGATTGCTTGAGCCCAGGAGGTCAACCCGGCAGTGAGCCATGTTTGCATTACTGCACTCCAGCCTGGGCTACAGAGTGAGACCCTGTCTCAAAAAAAAAAAAAAAAAAAAAAAGGCCGGGCGCGGTGGCTCAAGCCTGTAATCCCAGCACTTTGGGAGGCCGAGACGGGCGGATCAGGAGGTCAGGAGATCGAGACCATCCTGGCTAACACGGTGAAACCCCGTCTCTACTAAAAAAAAAATACAAAAAACTAGCCGGGCGAGGTGGCGGGCGCCTGTAGTCCCAGCTACTCGGGAGGCTGAGGCAGGAGAATGGCAGTGAGCTGAGATCCGGCCACAGCACTCCAGCCTGGGCGACAGAGCGAGACTCCGTCTCAAAAAAAAAAAAAAAAAAAAAAAGAAAGGTGGGGTGGGGAAGATACTAGCTCCTACTTGAATCTTTCCAGTAATGAAGAGTTTATTACACATGAGACTGCCCACTTTCTGACAGCTTTAATACTGAGAAAGTCTTTCCTGTGTTAATATAAAAATGGCTTCCTGGAACCATCTACCTGTTGCTTCTAGATTTACCCTCCAGAGTTTTCCAGAATGACTTATCCCTTCTAACCTTTCCGAGCCTCAGTTTCCTCACTTGGAGTAGGTGATCCCTGATGATGCTTCCAATGTGATGTTCTTTTTTTTTTGTGGGACAAAGTCTTGTTCTGTGGTCAGGCTGGAGTGCAGTGGCACCATCTTGGCTCACTGCAACCTCTGCCTCCTGGGTTCAAGCAATTCTCGTGCCTCAGCCTCCTGAGTAGCTGGGACTACAGGCACACGCCACCACACTTGGCTACTTTTAGTATTTTTAGTAGAGATGGGGTTTCACCATGTTGGCCAGGCTGATCGTGAACTCCTGACCTCAGTGCTTCTAATGTGATGTTCTAAGGTACCCACCACCTACTTTTCAGGGCAGCCTCCTGGGGAATCAGGCAAAGGGAATCTCATTAATGGGAACCTCCCAAGCTCAAGGCTCTTCCTGTGACTGGGTAAAGAAGTCATCTTGTTCCCTTGCTTCAGCCTTCTGGTCTTTATCCCCAGGGCTGCTACCCTGGAAAAGGAAGTGGCTGGGTTGCGGGAGAAGATCCACCACTTGGATGACATGCTCAAGAGCCAGCAGCGGAAAGTCCGGCAAATGATAGAGCAGGTAAGCTGGGTTGGTTTATAACCTGCCCTCGGGGGGTCACCCCAAGTCTATGCTCTTATTTGTTTCCTAGGGAGCTTGACTTACATTCATACATTTCCCATGTCAAACATTTATAGCTACCAATTACCAGAGTTCGGGTTATTAGGATTTGCTTTTCTCCTATCTTTCCCCTGCTGTTATGTTTGTTTGCCATTTAGCCTCTGCTTTCCAATAGGAAAGGAAGAAAAAGGTTAATTTCTCATGTACTCTGTGAAGAGTGTGGGTAAATGAGTAGTTGAGTCATAATAAACTGTTATCTGTGCAGATTATCAGTCTTTGAGCCTCATGGCTGCTTTCCTGCCTTACCCCACCTGAGCTTGAGGGTAGCATACTAAGGATTTGTCGATTTGCAGAATTGTTTTGGGAGCCTAACGCCCCGTAACTGGAAGGTTGGGAGGTCATATGTGCTTCATGTCAGCTCATTAGTGTCTGTTTTATTTACTGCTGTTTTCCATTATCTAGAACAGAGTCTGTCATGTAGTAAGCACTCAATAAATATGTCTCGAATGAAAAAATAATTTGTATTTTCCAAAACCAAATGGAATGGGTTTTGAGTCATTCATTATTTTGGATTCTCAGGGTGGTATTCCCCTCACACACTCCTCACTCCCGCCCCTGGGATAATCAAGAGTTTAATATTGACTGAAAGGAAGCCTTTGTAGAAAAGCTAATGAAGTCATATGGAGTTGCGGGGCTCTGCTGGCTTCCCCAGCAGCTGGGGTGAAAAGTCTGGTGAGTGCGTAATGAGTCATTGCAAAATGAGCTCCAGTGTCTCCCACACCTTTGCAGCTCCAGAATTCAAAAGCTGTGATCCAGTCAAAGGACACCACCATCCAGGAGCTCAAGGAGAAAATCGCCTATCTGGAGGCAGAGGTGTGTGTGCTGGGCAGCCCAGCAGGGGAACGGGGCTCTTGAAGAGAAGGTGGTCACAAGGGAGACAGAGGTTATGGAGGGGTCTTTGTCATGTCTCGCTGCTGCTCTGAAGTGAATACCTAGGGTGGTTGGTTGACTTTCAGTTCAGTTGTGTAAACATTTTCTGAGAACCTTCAGGAAGCTACTAACAATGATGAGATGACCCCCTCCACCCCACCTTCAATTGACATGTCATCCTGGTGCAAGCCACATGCCATGGCTGCACGCAGGCTAATTCTGACCCTCCAGGCTTTGCAAAGGAGCTGGCAGTGGTGCTGGGCTGTGAAGGAGGAGGAGGCATTCATATAGATGGAGTCTTTTCCAGGGCTAGATTATCTAAAGAGTTGCCTTCCTAGTCTAATTTCCACTTTGCCACAGGGCCCTACCTATCTGTTGACTACCCGAAGATCACTTTGCAAACACTCTGTGAAGATCCCTTGTAGTGAGGGAGATAAATGGGAGAAAGGGTTATCTTTAGGGAGTTCGCAGTCCCTAGTCAGAGATAAAATGTATATTTTTAAAAAGACCAAAGAATGCTTTATAGAATAGCATATCAGCAAAGGCAAGTGAGTATCTCAACTGAGGACAAAAAATTATATATAGGGGCCAGGTGCAGTGGCTCATGCCTGTAATGCCAGCACTTAGGGAGGTTGAGGCGGGAGGATTGCTCGAGGCCAGGAGTTCAAGACCTAGGCAACATAGTGAGACTTTGTCTCTGAAAAATAAATTTTTTTTAAATTAGCAAGATGTGGTGGCATGCATCTGTAGCCCAGTTACTTGGGAGATTTAAGGGAGAGGATCACTTGAACCCAGGAGGTCAAGGCTGCAGTGAGCTATAATCACGCCACTGCACTCCAGCCTGGGCAACAGCGTGGGACTCTATCTCTAAAAAAAAAAAAAAAAAAAGAACTGTATGTAGAGGGTATATAGGAAACCATCAGTCTGTCAGTGTTGTACAGAGTTACAGAGGAGCAGGTATTGGAGGACAAGTGCAATCTATGATCATGAAGACGAGGCAAGACGGTATCCAGGTGGTGGCACACATGGTGGGGGTAGAGGCAACAGCAGTACAAACACAGGCGGAGAGACCAGAATGCACTAGGTGAATGTGACACCTGGGAAACTAGAAAAAGGCCAACTCTAACCCCTAAGATTGTGTTACAGAATTTAGAGATGCACGACCGGATGGAACACCTGATAGAAAAGCAAATCAGTCATGGCAACTTCAGCACCCAGGCCCGGGCCAAGACAGACAACCCGGGCAGGTGAGTGAGCGTGTGTAGATAGAATGGGGCCAGGGAGGAGGGGGGAAGGAGGGACAGAGCTATGTGGAACATTTAGTGCTCAGGCAAGAACAAGGCCCCTTTAGATCCAACTTTCCTCCCTCAGTCTCTAATCTGACCCATTGTTTGCCAGAACCATTTTCTAACCCAATTAGGGTAGAACCTGTTACCACAAGCCCAAGGAGGTCCATGAATGGCTTCTAGAGGTGTATGAACCACCTGAAATGGTATACAAAATTATTTATTTATTTATTTATTTATTTATTTATTTATTTATTTATTTATTTTTTGAAACGGAGTCTCGCTCTGTCGCCCAAGCTGAGTGCAGTGGCCGGATCTCAGCTCACAGCAAGCTCCGCCTCCCGGGTTCATGCCATTCTCCTGCCTCAGCCTCCTGAGTGGCTGGGACTACAGGCGCCCGCCACCTCGCCCGGCTAGTTTTTTGTATTTTTTAGTAGAGATGGGGTTTCACCATGTTAGCCAGGATGGTCTCGATCTCCTGACCTCGTGATCCACCCGTCTCGGCCTCCCAAAGTGCTGGGATTACAGGCTTGAGCCGCCGCACCCGGCCTACAAAATTTATTTATAATGTTTGCATATTTCTAGGGAGAGGGTATTTTGCCTCTAATAGATTCAGAAAAGGACCTGTGATCTTGACAAAATCGAGAATCACAGCTATATCCACTTCTCAGTTGTTTAACTGCCCCTCTCTTTTCTTCACCCTTGCTACAAGACACATGTATCATGCCCCAAATCTTCTCTTAGATGTCACTGAATAATTACCATTTTAAAGCACTTGGAACCCAAGTGATCAGCCGGCACTGCAGTGTAAGATTCCAGAGGCAAATGTGAAGATTCCACAGGCTCTGTGAAGGGTGGGCCACAACACAGCTGTTCCCAGCACAGCTCAGTGTTTCCAACCTTCTTTTCAGTATTAGGATATCCAAGCCCCCCAGCCCGAAGCCCATGCCTGTCATCCGAGTGGTGGAAACCTGAGCTGCCTGGAGATGGATGCTGCCATTGCTGCTGCCTCTGCCTCGGAGAAGCCCACTGCCCCTGTTGGCTGTTAGCGCTGACTTTGACTTTCTGACTGTCCCCTGGCTGCACCCAGGACTTAGGGCTCCTGTGTCTCACCATTCCCAAGCTCCTGGCCACTCTATGCTGGGCAGACAGAGCATGAGCACCTATTCAAGGCAACTGCAGCCCTTTGGAAGACATTGTCCCGCGAGCAGGACAGGGCAGTATCTATATTCCTACAGCGACTATTTTTCTCTGTAGAGAGCCTCCCTTCTGTTGTAGACTGGACTCTGGCTGCCCCATAAGCCAGGCCTTCATCAGATTGGGAGAGTTGACAGGATTTGCCTCAGCCCTAAAAGCTGGAGACACAGATGTCCAGAGCGATTGGAGAGTGTCCTGGGGGAATGAAGTTCCTTCCACAAACACAGCTCAGTTCTTAGCAACAAACTGTTTGTTTTTCTACTTGCTCCACCTGCAGCCTACGCTGACCTGGCCTCCTGCAGACAGATAGTGGGGTTACCTGGCGAGGCCTGGTGAGAGCCAGTGAACCTAAGCTTTGGGTGGTGGTGTCTTTCTGGGGAGTAGGGAATGTACATTCAGGGAGTAGCCTTTTGCAGAAGAAATCTCTAGGGCTACAGACAGTTATGTGTGACTTCTCTCTACTGTGAAAACTCCCAGAGTCTCTTTAGGGATTTTCCCTAAGGTGCACACCACCAGGCACACCTCAGTCTTCTTGACCCAGAGCCTAAAAACTGTTTTCACTGGGTTCCACCAGTCCCGGCAAAATCCTCTTTGTATTTATTTTGCTAAGTTATTGGTGGTTTTGCTTACATCTCATGATTGATATAATACCAGAGTTCTATAGCCTTCTCTTGCAATGTTTGGATTTGCTTGAAACTGGGAAAGCTGTCAGAGTGACACTATTATAAATCTTTCTCTTTCCTCTGCCTGTTTCTTCTCCCTTTCTCTTTCAAACTTGATCTGCAGCTCAGGAAGGTGAGTATACTTTCCCTGAGGCTTTGGGGTCAGAGTATATGTTGTTTGAAGAAAAAGGGCAATCAGGACTCTTCTGGGGCCTAGATCAGCTCTTCACTAGCCCTTCCGAACTCCTTGCTCCATAATTAGTCTTTTGTTCTGGCTCTGAATGACCCTGCAGGTCATCATGGTTTTCTTTTTTTATTGTTTTTCTTTTTTTCTTGTCTTTTTTTTTTTTTTTTTTTTTTTGAGACGGGGTCTCACTCTGTCACCCAGGCTGAAGTGCCGTGGCACGATCTCAGCTCACTGCAACCTCCGCCTCCCAGATTTAAGCGATTCTCCTGCCTCAGCCTCCCGAGTAGCTGGGACTATAGGCATGCCACCACGCCTGGCTGATTTTTGTATTTTTAGTAGAGGTGGGGTTTCACCATGTTGGCCAGGCTGGTCTTGAACTCCTGACCTCAGGTGATCCACCTGCCTCGGCCTCCCAAAGTGCTGGGATTACAGGCTTGAGCCACTGCGCCCGGCCCATGGTGTTTTTCTTTAGGGCTCTTCCTACAGCCTTGAGAAGTAGATAGGCATCAGAGTATGCTACTATAGGAATCAGAAAAATTCAAAACAAATGTGGATTAAGTGTTTAGGCTCTATGTGGCTCACAACCAGAAGCCTTAAGTCTGTGTGTTTCTGTGTCCCAAGACTGGGCTCACATTCTGGCTTTGCCCATAACAATGCCCTGGGACTTCAGGGAGTTCCCTCATTTGTAAAATGAGGGGGTCAGAGCAGGTGATCTCCATGTTTCTTCCCATTCTGATATTGTTGTCTGTGGCATATTCTTTGTGTGGCGAATTTAATAAATTATGTTAATGTGTCTCTTTTGACCCCCTGGTCTGGTTTCCTTTCACTTCTCAGGGGCGATGAAAGAAGAAAATTGTAGTGCTTCTTGGAAGATGGGCACCCTGTTATCCACATGTGGGAGGTGTGGTCCAGACATCCCAAATGCCATGATATGAGGACTTCGTGGCATTTATAGAGGTATTAGAAGCAGCTCAGCTCCGTGGTCTGAGTCGTGATTATAGGAGGCAGCCCCTAACTTTAGCTTTGACCCTCTCTGGAGCAGTGGCCTTGTAGGATCCCTAAGCTTGGCCGCATTGTGTCTCATTTGGAAGAGACAGAGGTAGAATCCTGTGATTACATAGAAATAGACCCAGCAGCACTGGAGGTAGATGAGTAACTGCATGCCCTTTGCAGAAATGAAAAGCACCCTGGAAATGCTGACTGCAGCTGTTCAAGGGGGTTCGTTTCTGGCTGTCTCTGGGCATCATTCAATTAGTCTCATGATTTTTTTTTTCTGCCAAGGAGGCAGTTGACTGCAGGGCCAAATGGGGACATAGCTGAATTTACGCGAATCTTCTCTGGGCCAAAGAAACCAGAAACACAACACCCCCTCATCCCTGGCTTATTTCCTTTCTAGCTTCCATTTCTCTTCTTCAGTTGAAAGAGTGTATATTTTTCTCTGATTTCTCTTCTTCCCCCTTCTCCTGCTTCTCAGCCAATTCACACCGCAGGCTTCAAATGCATTGGAAACCTCTTTCCTTTCCAAACCTGGATTTGTCTTCTGACACCCGTGGCTCTCTTCTTTCTCTGGCAGTCTTGTTTGGCATGGGTAGATCTAGACTGTACTTGCTCTCAGAATATTAACAGCATGGAAGCAGGGCGGGGTTGACCAAGGTGCCAAGAAGACTCAGAGCTGGAGGAATACTGGAGTGAGTGTGCTGCCCTACACGAAACGGAGGCTCCCGCTGGGCATCCTGGGCTCAGTGGGAGGAACTGAGATTTGTGTTGCAGATAATGGAGAGGTCTGGAGGCATTCCAGAGACTCGAATCAGGGGTCTAAGAGAGTCCTTGGACAAAAACATGCCACTGGTGTATATTTCCTAGAGTTTAGTTACACCACAGCCAAAGAGAATAGAGGCATGCCGCAGGGGAGCGGGGGCGGGGCGGGGGGGTTGGAAAGGGAATGTAGTCTGGGAAATATGGTTTGTATCTTGGCTATCTTGTCAATTAGAGATGGAGAATGAGGGACTGAAGGAGAATGATATAGTGTTCAGGGCCTGAAGAAAGGGTGTGGCGAGTAAGGTGCTCCTGGCTTCAGTGGCCTGTTTATTGCCTATGTTTTGTCATTTGTAAGCCAGCTCCTCTGTGCTGCCTTAATATTTTGTGGAGGGAGGATAGTCTGATTCCCTGGGACCTCTGCCATGAAGGCCTGTTTCTTTGAGCTGGATGTTGAGAGCTGCTCAGACATGCAGCCGTCATCAACAGCGTCCTATAAACCTGGAGCGTCAGCCCAGCATGGGAAAAGCAGCAGCAGCACCCTGCCTGCCGAACAACTGCCCCTGTCTTCCCCATCTTCGTCTGTTCCTTCCCCTGCACAGGAAAAAGCCTGGCAGTGACACAGTATTTCAAGCAAATGGTGCACTGGAACTTCTTTCAAACTAAGTTTCTAAGGCCAAGAATTGATTGGCTCATTTTCATCTCTATTTAAAAGTACCTTTTGCTATGAAATATCCCACTAGGAAGTGTTTCCACTTTTGAAAGGTGCTCTGACATGACAGGAGTTAAAGCAACTTAATTACGCTGGGCGCAGTGGCTCACACCTGGAATCCCAGTACCTTGGGAGGCTGAGGGGGGCGGATCACTTGAGGCCAGGAGTTTGAGACCAGCCTGACCAACACAGTGAAACCCCGTCTCTACCAAAGAATACAAAAATTAGTCAGGTGTGATGTCGGGTGCCTCTAGTCCCATCTACTCAGGAGACTGAGGCAGGGGAATGGCGTGAACCCGGGAGCGGAGCTTGCAGTGAGCCGAGGTTGCACCGCCGCACTCCAGCCTGGGCGACAGAGCAAGACTCCCGTCACACAAAAAAAAAGAAAAAAAAAAAGGCAACTTAATTTGACTGAGGAGGGTAACAACTTTTGGGTTGGAAAAGCAAGCAGCTTTCCCTCTTTAACCAGCTCTTTAGTGTGTGTTGCTGTTTCCTGCAGGGCCTCTAATAATCCCCTGGCTTCCTCATTCCTCAGAGCCAAGCATCACTGAGCTTGGGCCTGAGCTTCTTCAGTCTATGACTCAACAACAAGTGTTAGCCTAGGGCCCTTGGCCTCTTTTTTCACACTTCAATTTAAGACTTTAACTTTGCAAGGAGAAATTGTTTCCTGTCTTCCCTGTCCAAGTTCTAAGCAGGATGGCCTTGAAACTCCAAAGTTGGAGACCTAAATATTCCCTATTCCCTCTTTCTCCAAGGAAAATCCATACCCAGGCTGAAGATAAAGATGTTTCTTAAAGGTAATTTCTAGCACAACATGCTCTGTGGCAGTGAGACCTACTTTAAACACAAAATGTGTGTGGCCTTTCTGCTGGAATTTCTCTTCTCCTGGAGCCCCCTGGGACACAGAATTGAGGGTGGATAGTAGTAGCAGGATAATTGATTTCCTAAAAGGTGTTGGTCGCCAAGTCTTAGACCACAGGACCTCAGACAGCCGAGGGAAAGGAAGTCATTAGTACTTGTGACTCAATCTATCAATTCAGTGCTGATTATACACCCAGCCCTTCCTCTCACTAGGATTCCAGGCCCAAACTTGTATATGTCTGCAGGAGTTTTATTACCCTATGTCTGTTTTGTTTTTATTTTATTTATTTTCTGAGATGGAGTCTCGCTCTGTCACCCAGGCTAGAGTGCAGTGGCATGATCTTGGCTCACTGCAACCTCTGCCTCCCGAGTTCAAGCAATTTTCCTGCCTCAGCCTCCCAAGTAGCCGGGACTACAGGCGTGCGCCACGTAACCCGGCTAATTTTTCTATTTTTAGTAGAAACAGGGTTTCACCATGTTGGCTAGACTGGTCTTGACCTCCTGGCCTCAGGTGAGCTGCCCTCCTCGGCTTCCCAAAGTGCTGGGATTACAGGCGGGAGCCATGACGCCCGGTTCTGTGTCTGTTTTATATTTGTCCATATGTGCTTGTGTGTGAACTGGCCTGCTATGTACAATATATTTCTTACTGTGGGAACAAATCTGAAGAACACTGGTTTAGAGGACAGACCTCTGTCCTTGGCTGTATTGTAATCTCAGGGTCGAGGTCCAAAATGGACTTCCTTCCAAACTGCTCCCTGTCCCTTTATCCCTTAAATCCAGTTTGTCAACAGGTCCTCATGTCTCCTCTGTTGAAGTATCTCTTGGGCTGGGTGTGGTGGCTCATACCTATAATCCCAGCACTTTGGGAGGCCAAGGTGGGCAGATCACCTAAGGTCAGGAGTTCAAGACCAGCCTGACCAACATAGCAAAACCTCATCTCTGCTAAAAATACAAAAATTAACTGGGTGTGATTGCGCACGCCTGTAATCCCAGCTACTCTGGAGGCTGAGGTAGAACAATCGCTTGAACCCAGAAGGTGGAGACTGTAGTGAGCTGAGATCACGCCATTGCATTCCAGCCTGGGAGACAGAGTGAGACTCTGTTTAAAAAAAAAAAAAAAAAAAGGGAATATATCTCAGAAGTGCGCCTTCCCATGTTCACAGTCTCAACTCATCTCTTGAAGCCTAGATGACCACTGAAGCCAGTCCTTGCTGATCTCCATCTCCAGCCTCTTATCTGCCCCACATCCACCCTCCCTACCACTGTCATTTGAATCTTCCCCAAATGCAGTGTTCTTTCTATCAGTCAGGGCTATTTAGCCAGGACAAAAGAAGGATGATAGCAGTTTCCAAAGAGAAGGTGGGTCCCTTGGGAGGAGCAGCAGCAGTTTTGCTCCAGAGGGCAGAATCTGGATGGTGCCGGGTAGTTGCAGGGAGATAGCTAAGAAACAAAAGAATCCATTGACAATTAGAGCAGGGTGGACTGTCTTGGCAAGTAGCAAGTTTTCCTACACACACCAGCAGTATCTCAATTAGAAAACAACGCAAAATATAACAACAGATAGAAAATACCTAGGCATAACCTTTATTTGTAATGTCAATGACCTATGTGAAGAAAATGACCAGATTTTGTGAAGAAAGATGGGAAAACAATGAAGAAAAATTTTCCTGGATGGAAACTTAAAATTGTAAAGATGTCAATTCTTTATTTTTAGGCTTTGTGTAATTACAGTGAGTTACACTGTAATTCAATAGAGTCTTTTTAGAACTGGATATAATTATTTTAAAATTCCATCTGGAAGAATACATGGGAAAATGGTAAAGAAAATTTTGAAGGCAGAGCTAATTTGGGAGGATTATTAGTCTTGGCAAATAGCAAAACATTATATAGCTTATACATCAATTTAAGAGACTAGCTAGGCAGAAATAGACCCAATTATACAATATAAGCATTTGAAAAGGATAAAAGAAGCATTGCAACTTAACGGGGAGAAAGGCATTTGAACAGTTGGTTAAAAATTTGGGAAAAGGCCGGGCGCGGTGGCTCACGCCTGTAATCCCAGCACTTTGGGAGGCCCAGATGGGTGGATCACGAGGTCAGGAGATCGAGACCAACCTGGCTAACACGGTGAAACCCCATCTCTACTAAAAATACAAAAATCAGCTGGGCGTGGTGGTGCACACCTGTAATCCCAGCTACTCGGGAGGCTGAGGCAGGATAATTGCTCCAACCCAGGAGGCAGAGGTTGCAATGAGCCAAGTTCGTGACACTGCACTCCAGCCTGGGCAACAGAGTGAGACTCCATCTCAAAATAATAATAATAATTGGGAAAAAGAAACTAAACAGCATACCTAAATTCTATATAAATTAATTAAATATTACAAATTGTAGAAAAACTAGAAGAAAATACAATTGAATATCAAATCCGAAAGGAGATACATTTAGAATGTTAGTATTGAAGGTCATGAAGGAAAA